CATCCAAGATCTCAGTTGAGGACTTTCAAGTATTAACTACAGAGGTGAGAAGGGCAGAAAAGGACAGCCGGCTGCAAGCAGGTGACTGACAGGAATCCTGTCTTTGTTCACAGCTCCCTGCCTGCCACCAGCAAGGAGCCCTGGAGCGAGTTATTAAACACTACAGACTGAAGTGTAGAAACACCATCTCTCCAGTCCAGATGTTCCTTCTCTGCAAGCAGCCAAGCCAGTTCTGCAGCTATTGGTCACAGCCTGCTTGCCGCCAGGTGTCACAGGCCTGAGACTGATCACCTTAAACTAGCAAGCTCCTGCATATTGACATCCTATTCGGCACACACATGTGGAAATGGCCATTCTTGGCATGAGCATGCTCAAAAACTCCAGACACTGAGCTCAGAAACAATAACATCAAAGGAAACATCACACAACTAGGGAATTTCTGACCAGGCTATGTGTGTGTGGCCTTTTTACTTGGAATCACTTCGGCTAAAGAAATCCTCTTCTCTTTTCTGCCTTTATTTTTGAGGGTAAAAGGGTCTTATGAAGCACAGGCTTTCCTTGAGCTGTCTATGGAGCCAGGGATGATTTTAACTGTAGATCCTCCTGTTTCCAGCTCTGGAATGCTGGCATGACAGATATGCTGGCTGAAGTCTTCCTAGTACTGTGGGAGGGCAACCTGAGGGAGCCCCTAATTACCACCTCTGTCCCCTGTCATCACTCAGGCAGTATCATCCCTTCCCTATGGAGGGGCCAGGCCTAGACTTCCTCTACAGAGTCGCAGAAGTACAGTGGAAGTTGTAAGTTCTCATTCTCAGGACAAGTTGTGGCTCTTCTAAGTCTGCCTTCAGTCATTCATACTCTATAGTCTATCTGCTGTGTAAGGAGGAGCCCCGTGGAAAGGATCACATGGCCAGAAACAGGCCTGCCACAGCTGAAGTACTTAGAAGCGAGTGCTCCAGGTGAGTCCCCAATCCTGCACACAATGTGAGCACCACTTTGTGAGAGACCCTGAGCCAGGAACACTGGGCTAGACAAACACAAGTACCTGTTGCAAGCTTGGGGACAAAGTATTATTCAGCCAGTGATGGAGAACGAACCAGGCATCAAACATCTTAGGTTGGGTCTTTGTCTTTTCTGGCCCTGTTAAAAGCATCTTTGAACTTCATACTCACAAGCCTGTGTCCACAGCTGAGCAGTGAGCCTGTGGCTCCTTTGATTGGCTGGTTGAATGTTAATATGGATGAAGTCAGACCTCAGTGTGAATTGTTGAAGATGACAAAGGGTAGAAGGTGCAATTCTTTTCTTTAACATACCTACATATTGGTGAAATTTTAGGGTGTTGGTCAACCTCAGGCTAAGAATATGTATGTGTATGTCCATATGTCCTGTGATATGTGGTAGGGGGTAGAACCCAGGGCCTTGAACATGCTAGACAAGTGTCAGGTCTTTTTTTTTTTTTTTTTTTTTTTTTTGTTAAGCTGGGGGCTAGAGAGATGGCTCAGTGGTTAAGAGCACTGACTGCTCTTCCAGAGGTCCTGGGTTCAGTTCCCATCACCCACATGGCAGCTTACAAATGTCTGTAACTACAGTTCTAGGGAACCCAGCACCCATGCCAAAACACCAATGCACATAAAATAAAAATAAACTTTAAAAATTAATCTTTATTTTTTTAATGTAGATAGGTGTTTTGTCTGTGTGTCTTAGCACCACATGCATGCAGTGACCCCAGAGCTCAGAAGAGTGCATGGACCCCTGGAACTGGAGTTACAAATGGCTGTCAACTGTCTGGAAACTGAACCTGGGTTCTTTGGAAGAGCAACAGTGGGCATGTCAGATCTTAAACATGCAATTCTGTGATTGTCATGTCTTCACCGAGTCAGTAAAGCCTGGCATGGATATGAATATGTGAACAACAGCATATTCAAAGGTCCCCACTGTAAGTAGGAAGGCCAGATTCTTTCCGACAAGACTCCTGGGGCCACCTGTGTAGCCTGACCTTCTCAGACCAGCCCTATACTTCCCTCCTCCGGTGGGGAACTCGGCCAAGCTCACTCATCTTTCCACTCCTGTTAATCTCAGACATTACTCCCTCCCAGCTCTCACACTCAACAGTCAAGGTCAACTATGTCCTGTTTCCACCTACCACAGTGGATGCCTAAGGGTGGGGAACGCGCTCATTTTCCTCAGCGCTGCAGCACACAACAGGTGCTGGAGTCTGGGTTGAATGACGGGCTGCCCACTGCACGTGCCCATCTACTGGTACCCAGGCCTGGATCTGGAGAGCCCAGAAGTGTGACAAGGTTAGTAGCCAGGATGGCAGGACAAGTGGGAGTCACACCCACCTCAGGAGCAGCCTCAAGGGCAGAGCTGGCACCTGGCCTGCCCAGAAACAGGAATTTCTAGTCTAATGTTCTCCTACTGTGCAGGACATCAGAGAGAAGCTTTGTCCAGCATCAACACCAAGGAGTCTTTCAAACTCCCTTCTACTGGTCACCCTGGAAACACAGCAAAAAAGAGCTAGCTTCCGGGGGGGGGGGGCGCTGACACCTGTCACCTGGCGACATCTCCATTTCTGTATCTCAGCCTCGTGTCTCTGTCCAATCTCTGGCTTTCTTCTTCAGCACATCTGCCACTTTCCTCACCTCCTACTACTTGGCCTGTGAATACCTTGATCCTCTGCACTGGCCAAGACTGTCCAGTCAATATTCAGCAAGAAACAAATGGTGCCAGCCTAGAACCTTGGCACTCTTTTCTCCCAAAATTGCCACGAATCTCATCTGGAGCCTGGAGGCTTAGGAGGGGACCCAATCAGCTCTCAGGACTGTTTCCTCTCACGGCTGTGTGTGCTGTGAAGCTCACAGCACCTGGGACACAGCATACACCAAGTGCTCATAAAGCCGAGCCAGGACAATTGCGGAAGTGACCCCAGAGCGAACAAGACTTCCTATAAAACTCTCTCGGTCGGGGACAGGGTTCCAAGCCCCATGGGATGCAGTGTCTCCTCTGGCCTTCCCTCACCGCATTCCCAGGGACTGGTTTTTCGTATGGTTGTTTGGTTTCTTGTGGTACTGAGGAGGGAAGCCAGCCCTTACACACTGACCCGCCGCTGGGTTCCACTGTCCCAAGACCCCGACTTATGCACCAAGACCCCGACTTATGCACCCGTATTTTGTACCTTGTGTTTGTAAGGCCAGCTTTGGAGACAGTACACCTGCAAGAACTGGCCTTTGGTGAGATCTGCCAGGATCACCGGCCTCCCCATAAGTCTACAGTACCAGTCACCGCAAGTTTCACCATCAGTGTGCTGCAGAGAACAAGGCCAGGAGGGGAACAAGCCTGCAGGCAGGTTGCCTTTGATGAAGGCCACCTGGCTCAGAGCAACTGCATGTGGGTCACACCAAACTCACACCCGCACACTCTTAGGCTCCCTGATGACAATCAGCTATGCATCAGGAGTACTCTGGGATGTTCAGCCGTGTGCAAAACACCAAAAGATAGAGAGGCAAAAATACAAAAGGTAGAAGGAAACCATCTGTTTAACAAACACACGCTAAATCCCATGCTAATAACACATTACAAACATGTAAGGACACACTTGGCATCAGCAAAGGATTATGGCACACCACTAACCCACAAGGCTGAAGACAAACACAGATGGTTTTGAGTAGTGCATTTCACAGCCCTAACACCACAATTCTTACATTGACACTGGTGCATACAATAACGGCAGTAAGTAAATGCATAACTATTTAAGAGCCATACCATCAAATGTTTTGATTATGGCATTCTTTGGGAGAAAATAAAATTGAAATGTTACAAAACATTTTCTGTCATTATAAAACAAATTTAACTTGGACCCGGCACCCCACACACACCTGAAAAGACGGTATTGTGTGTGTGTGGGGGGGGACGGTGTTTTTCCCCAGGGACAAGCATGGTAGTTCTGGGTGTTCCACGGGCTTCCACTCTCAGGCCTTACAAAGCTGGTGTGAGGAAGATACTCTGCTGGATCAACAACCCACTGGCTGTACCCCAGTTGCCCCATCAGAGGTCCAGAAACAACTTTATGGTTGTTGGTCTCAGAGAGAAACTCCTGGCACTGCAGTCCTGAAGGGCTATCCTAGAGGGTCCCTGGAGGTTCAAGTCATCCTACAGCTCAGCTCAGCTCAGCTCAGAGTGGCTTCTTTTCTTCTTTCCTTCTCTTTCCTTCTCTTTCCTTCTCTTTCCTTCTCTTTCCTTCTCTTTCCTTCTCTCCTTCCTTCCTTCCTTCCTTCCTTCCTTCCTTCCTTCCTTCCTTCCTTCCTTCCTTCCTTTCTTTCTTTCTTTCCAGGGTGGGTCTCTCTATATAGCCCTAGCTGTCCTGGAACTCACTCACTATGTAGACCAGGCTGGCCTCAAACTTACAGAGATCCACCTGCCCCTGCCCGCTAAATGCTGGAATTAAAGGCATGCACCTGGCTCAGAGCAGCTTTTAAAAACCACACTGATGTAGAGGAAATGAAGCCAGTAGCCCTATTGTGCCGCTTTAGTTTTCACTATTAAACTTGGGCAAGATTTTGTGTTCGGTGTGTTGTTGTGTGTGGTTTTGTTTGTTTGTTTGTTTGTTTTTTGTTTTGTTTTTATGCCCACCAGTACCCAATCCACCTCACTTCCAGTAGCTTTTTAAAAGTCCATACAACTGCCTATGTGTGCATTTAAATTCCCTGGAGTCAGAGGAGCGTGTAAGTCCCTGGCTAGGTGGCCTGCCAGCTTCACGCTCTTAAGGAGCACAGGTCTCAGTTTCTCCTTCCCCGAATGGGCTAGCCAACCCAGAATAAATTGTGAGTTGTGTGCCTTGAGCCGGGTGGAGCTGCTTCCTTGGAAGCCAGCTTCTCTTCAGAATCAAAGGAGATGCTGAGTAGAGTCTCAGTCCCAATGAACATGGGGTCCCGCGAGTCAGATGCAGGACCCCAGGGGACAATGTGGAGTTCCCTGCCTCAAACCAGATCGCTCAGACTCACCAGGGTCTCCACCTCGTCCCTTTCCAGCGCCTTGTACCGGTGGTCCTGACCCAGGAAGGCCAGTTTCTGCAGAAACTTGAGGCGTCTCCCCATGTTGAGCGGTGTCCAGGCTGCTCCACAGCCGGGCGTGGGGCCTGTCGCAGTCCCTGCCCGCGTCCCTGGGGCCTCAAGCGCGCCCAGGCTTCCCGGGCGGCTGGGTTGCCCGGGAGCTGCCTACCTGGTCCCCAGGTGAGCTCCGCCCTTGGGCAGGGCCGCAGCAGCGCCGCCCTCTGCACAGCTGGCCCGCCCCACGGGCGGGCGCCAGGACCCCATACTCCCAGGGTCAACCGCAGGGATTCTGGAATGACCAGGAAGCCACTGTGTGGTCTCAGAGCTATGATTTTTGTCCAAACCTGCCAGAGCATAAGAATTACCTGGAAGGGGGAGAGTCCTGAGCCGAAGCCTTACTTGGGGTAGTGTAGCTCTGGGCCAGTTACCTGGCCTCTCTGAGCCACCTGGCTGTATCTGTAATTGAAATGGAGCAGAAGGCTGAGACCTTATCCACAGGAACCTTACATATACTATACCTATTTAGGTGTGACCTTGGGAGTAGGGAAACTGGGAGATCTCCAACTTTTATGTTCACCTGTCGTGCACACTCCTCCCTTGCAAATAAATGGCAGGTGAGTGCTGTATGTTTCCTGAATCTTTGGTTATTGCGCTGCCAAATAGCCATTGGGACAGCACTGACTTCTCAGAAAACCTGGGGGTCCTGAAGGCAGTGGTGATGTGGGGCATCCTGCAGGGCTCACACAGAGCATGCTTGTGTCAGCAGCATGCTGGTACACTGTGGTGGTGAGAGGGGCATCACACAACTACCAAAGGCGCTGCCGGAGCACATGTGCCATGTAACTGCTTCGGGTTGCCCAGTGTGCACCGAGGAAAGCCAGAAGGCTCTGGGGTGGACCAGGGTCCCTATTCCACAGAGCAGAGGTGGCCCTAGGAAAGGCTGGGCCATGCTCCATCCTGGGTTTACCTTTGACCATAGGCAATCAACCATCTGACTGCATTTGTTTGTGTGATGAAACTGTCCCCTTTGAGCAAATATTTGCCACCTGTCTCACTGGCTCCCCCAAGTGGTGGCCATTCCAGTCCTGGGAAATCTGATGGGACCCTTGAGGTGGCTTCATGTCACCACTATGTCTTGCTCTCTTAAAACCAAAGCACCTCCATCATGCTGCCCATTCCCTGCCACATGCCTGCTTCCCTCAGGAGACTACACCCCCACCCCCAGGTCCAAAAAAAGGGGAAACTATTGAACTCCCTTGACTTTACAGTCCAGGCCACATACTTCCAGTTGTGTGTGAGCTTGGGTGATTTTTCCCACCTCCCTCAACATCAGTTTATTTCTCCATGAAGAGAGAATGACACTGCCTATCTACCTGTATGAACCGGGGTCCCAGAAGGAAACGGCACCCTGAAACGGAGTGATGTGAGGGCTGAAGTGAGAGACTGTCCCCAGGGATGTGGACACAGGGGAAGTGGCAATAGGGTGAACTGGCTGCTGTGCATCGAGGGCCTCCTAGAGAAGGCAGCTAGAGAGGAGAGAGCCAGTGTGGAAGTGGGAGCCTCAGGGGGAGGCTCTGAGCAGAAGCCAAAAGTCATCAGTGCCTCCTTGTGGGCTGAGTCCCTGCAGTGGGATGCTGCATAAGGGAATGATGTGCCCCTGCCTAGCACTGCCCCACAGGGATTTTCAGGAGTCTGAGGCTCGTGGAGACAACACTGAGACACTTGGCTCTGCTGTCCTGGGTCTTCTGCAGGTTGCCTCCTCTGGCTCTAAGAAGGATGTCATGGAGGGATGGAACCTCTTACCTTCCCAGGGGTGTTGCTGATAGGGCAAGGCAGACACTGGCATCAGCAGCAGTGGGTTGGTTGGTTAACAACTCCCCTGCACGGCCCAGCTCCTGGGTCCCATCACCACAGCCCCACTCCTACCAGAGGTGTGGAGGCTAGAATTTGTGGGTAGGCATGCGAATGCACAGGAAATGTGAGGTGGGACACTGGGTGGTGGATGTCACAGAGCACTCCCAAAACGACGATGCAGATTGTGAAAGTTTCCCACACCGAGGTTGCAGTTCACATTGTGGTGGGAACATGTAGCCTGCACTCACCACTGCTAGAGTTTAACTTACTGAACCCTTATCACTGCTGTGCAGGCCACGTTCTTAGGCCATCTCATGGCACTGTTGGCTACATGCAAAGTGTGTTGTTGGTGAGCTGACTCTGTCAGCTGGAACTTTCTGGTCCTGTGGTTGTTTGCTTGTTTGTTTTTGGTAGCCATGTGATTTGACAAGTGGGGAGAGTTGTGAAGTTTCCTTTCCAGGCATTCTCTTGTCCCATCTGAGTTTGCTCTTCCTATATTAATGTGTCTGGCTGGCCTCTCTCCACCTCTCACGCTTCATGACTGCTTTTAGAGGGGAATGCTTTTCCGTCTTTCATCTGTTATTTTGATCTGTAGTAAGCGGGGCTCTTGTACAGGTGTCCCCAGCAGTGACACCTGGGGCTTCTTTCTTCTTAGCCTTGTCACTTGGCACACTATGCTCGCTCCTATAGACCCTTATATTTCCTTTGAGAAAATTTAATTATTTTATTTCTGTCTTCACCTTGGAAGATTCTAGAACCCACATTTTAAGGAATATCATTAGACAAAGCAGCCAGCTGGGAATTCCTGAGGTGTGCAGGTTGGAGATGGCCCTGACAGCTGGGCCAGGTTTAAGAGCCAAGGGTGGAGCCTGACCAGAAACATGTTGCCTTTCTTGAAATGTCTGCTCTGGACACCTTGAGCAATGAGTGAGGTCACACCAGTCAACTCCCTTCACTCTTTCCTTGGAAGTGGAGCCCTTTCAGTCTGCTCCCAAGAACGCAGCTCTCCAAGCAGGTTTGATACAGTCTCAAGGCAGCTGAAATTTATTTGGTTGTAAACTGCACTCCCAGGTTTGATAACCGAGGGCGTCCCCTTCTGAAAGGGCTTGCTGCCCGCAGGTGTGTCTCAGACATGTTTTAAGGCTGTTGTGCAGGGCTATGGGGAAGAATCCACAGGCACAGCATGCTTTGTCCCTGTCCTCTCCCGGTGGGTGAAACCGGCTGCCAGGTTGTGGTGAACATGTGTGGCACAACACTAGGCAGTGAGGTAGCAGGCTGACTAATGTCTGGGGGAAGACGTGTCCAGCCCTCATGTGTCATTTTGTCAAGTAGTGACAAAATGCCTGCCAAAACCAACTTAAGGGTTTGGTTTTTTGGGGTGTGTGTGGGACTGAGAGAACAAATACTTGGGATTTTGGGCCAGGCAGGTAGGTGCTGTTCACTATTGCAGCCCAGAGCTAGGGACCCGCAGCCATGCCATGAAGAAAAGGTTATATTAAAAAGAGGTGACCCAGGCTCAGAAAGATAAATACTGCATGTCCACTCTCGCACATAGAACCTAGCTTCTAATTGTCAAAAATGAGTGTCTGTGGGTGAGAGTGGAGGTGGGGAAAAGGAAAGGGTCCATGTGACGGAGGGAGGGTGCGTGACATGGAGAGCAGTAGAACACGTGCTGTGTGGAAGTAGGAGAATACTGAGGGCTGAAAAGGTACAGCAGGGGCAGGTCTCGGGGGCAGAGAGATGAGGAGGGTATGGAACCCCATATGAAACTTGTATGCTAAAAAAAGGGGGAGTGGGGTGGGGACTGGGGAGGATGCTCAGTGGCTAGCAGCACTTGCTCTTCCAGAGGACCCAAGATCAGTTCCTAGCTCCCATGTCAGGGAGTTCACTACTGCCTGTAACTCCAACTTCTCTGGCACACTCTTCTGGCCTTCTGGGCATCGGGCTTGTATATGATACATGTACATACAGGCAGGCAAAACATGTATGCATGTGAAATAAAATAGCAAACAAATCTTTTAAAAGAAAAAAATATAAGCTTGGTGGCCTGGGTGGGGCCTCCATGGTTAAGAGGGGATTTGGGGGCAGAGACTGTGAGGAGAGGGTCCTGAGGGAGGGTAGACTCTATGCAGCAAAGGGAACAGCCAGTGTCAGAAGCAAAGGCCTGGCAGCCTGTGCCACAGCTGTGAGACCCAGTTCCTATGTTTGCTCTCGGTTGTGGTCATGCTGGTAGAATCATCTCCAGACCTGTCCTGCTGTGACCCCTCTCCACAGCTGGGTGACACCAGTGGTCTTGCAGGGTTTCCATTCTAACGGGAAGGATAAGCCCCAGCCTGTGCATGTGACACCAGGAACCCAGTGAAGCTGTCCCAGGACTCACTGGAGCCCAAGGGGTAAACACATAGCTCAGATGCCTGGCTCCCTCCCACTCCTCCCACAGCCATAGACATCTCTGTTTGGTCACCAGGTCACAGCAAAGGGTCATTTTCTCTAGGCTGGGGCAGGCCTGGGAACCCTTTTCATCATTATTAGTAGCTACCATAATTGTTGACACCTGACACATAAATGCATCTATCTAACAAAAGATTTTTTTTTTTTTTCAGGAAGAAGGCAGAGCTTTGCTGGAGGACATCAAGGAACCTTCTAGAAGGTAGAGACATAGATAAAAATCTCTGAATTCGCTTTCACACATCCTTCACAGGTCAGTGTCACGGTGTGGTAGGAATTTGTGGTTCAGTATAAATGGCTTCACTGGGCTGGAGAGATGGTTCAGTAGGGCAAGTGCTTGTTATCTATGCAAGAGTGAGGATCAAAGTTCAGATCTCAAGAACCAAGTCAAAGCAAGACACAGTAGTGTGTGTCTGTGATCCCAGCACAGCACAGCAAGACAGGACACAGAGATGGGGACTGCCTAGAAATGCCTGCCTTAGCCAGCTTGTTCTATGCAGTGGTGAACAAGAGCTCCTGTCTCAAACAAGGTCAAGGGGAAGACTGATACCCAAGGCTTCCCTTTGGTACACATGCACCCCCACTCACACATACAAAGATGAAGATGAGGGGAGGTAGGCAGGAGATTTAAAAAGACACTTGTCTCTGGGAATGGTGGCTGGCACATGTCTTTAGTCCCAGCACTCATGAGGCAGAGGCAGGCCGATCTCTGTGAGTTTGAGGCCAGCTTGGTCTACAGAGGCAAGTTCCAGAACAGCCAGGCCTGCACAGAGAAACCTTGTCTCAAAAAATCAAAAAGAAAAACAAACAAACAA